CGGGGATGGGTAAAAAAGAAACACCAAACAAAACACGCCACCTTCCATCAGGAGGAAAAAAAAAAGCGAAGTTTTATTTTTTCGCTACTTCTACACGTTTCTTAAGGAAAGGCTGTGAGAGGAGAGAGAAAGCGTCAGGCTCGCTCAGAACAATTCGCAGCGTCGCTCCAGTCCCAGCACGGGAAGCACGTGTTCCTGCTCCTGGCAGGACACGGGACGTGTCCCAGGTTCTGCCTCACCTCTTTGCTCAACTCTCGCTGGCAGGGCAAGACCCGACGTAACCACTGCAGTGGGAAAGACTCCCCAGACTGTTTTCACCCCACCAGCCCTTCCAGGGTTTCAGCAGCCCGGGCAGCAGCTGCTGCTGTGGCACCTCTCCCTAGCCCACACGGGTCTGCAGTGCTCCCCTCAGCACCCCAAAGTTCTCCGGTTGCAGCTGCAAGAACAGACCAAAGGTTTCCCAATTTTTATTGACAATTAACCTTAATATACACGAGCCGACAAAGCAGCAGAATCCATCTACAAATGATTCTTCAGAACATTGAAAGGCAATCAATAATACTTAGATGAACAACATTCCCTTTAATTGCTTTAACACCCTCCCAGTGTACATCGTAACCTGACAGCCCTGAACAAGAATAAAGTATCTCTGTGAGAGACAGCATTCCATTTTACCAAACAAAACCAAGAAATATATTTTAGCTTAGTAAAACATTGCACAGTGATAAACTCAGGCTACCCTTACACAGTCCATGCACTTGTAATCCCAAAGGCAACCTTTCCTGCACTACAACACAGCAAGAGAGGCTTATGCTGGAGCAAATGGAAGTTGGCAAAAGTTTTAATCATTAATTACTGTCAAGCGTAAATTTAGTGATTTAAAAAGAGACTGGCATGATGACAGTGTGTTAACTACATAAAATATATGTTCTAGAGAATAACTTTAGCTACATACAAAGCCTTTTTCCTAAGGAGGGATCAATATTCATGGAATGAAAAAGTAGTAAAGATTCAGGCTACACAGTTTGTAGATTATCCAAATGCTATTTAGATATTTAACTTCATATACACTATTGCCAAACCACAATTCTTTTGACTATTTTTTATTAAATACTTCCAGTACACGCAGCAGGTGTAGGAAGAGATTGATGATGTCTAGGTAGAGATTGATTGCAGCCTGTATGTACTCTTCAGGGGACAATCTGTGCATCAGCAAATGAGTGTCATAAATAATAAATCCACAGAACAGAAGAGCACCAGCAGCAGCAACCACCAACTCTATTGTCTCACTGTAAAAAAACACCTGGAGGCAAATGAAACATGAAAAAATGTAACTGAAAATTTAATTCTATTTTTAATATTAAAATCCCTGCATAATGATAACCCACACTTAAAAAAAAAGATGCATGATGATTTCTTACTGTTACACATACACAGTATCACAATGACATTTCAATATTCTATATATATATTCAATATTAACAGTCGAAAAATTAGAAAAACAAAATACAACTGGACACTAAACATTCTTCCTATTCTCTCAATCAAGTAGTGGATCCCAACTGGCAAAGTTTGTCAATCAGTGCAAATACCATTTTTACATTAGCGAGAACAGAGTCCAACAACAATCTGAATTGGAAATGAATGGTTAGAAGATCAGCAGTATGACCTACACCAATAATGGATCTGCTTAGGAATTTTATTTCATTAAGATATAGTGGATTATCCAAAACATTTCTGTTATACTACAAGTTTTGAATATAAGGTATCTTACCCTCAATAAACTTGAGAAGATTAAAATCCACAAACAAGTGAAGAGGCTAGAAAAAAAAATTAAACTGTGAGCAACAATGTATTTTATTTAAAATGTTACTTAAAATCTCTTCCCTTCCTGTAAAACCTCTTTGTATTATATTTAATAAGCAAATATCAATAATTCTTAGATGCCAACTGTTCACAGGTATCAGCAGTAGAATTCAGTTTTATAAAGCTGCCAAAACTTATGTCCTAAATTTACTTATTTTTGAAAATATTTTAAGTAGTTGCCTTCCATCTCAGTGAAAAATTCAGGTAAACTACATATTAGTGTAATACTACAGTCTTAAGAATCATAATCACAGAACATAATTCCTCATCAAGGAAGTGGAACTGCATACAATTAATAATCTAAGACAAATAACACCTTCACCATTCTCTTCAAGCATGTTCTATCGACCTACATGCATGATCATATCTGCAAAGCTTGCTTTAGAAAAGGAACAACTAGCTTAACAAAAACCAAACCAAAACAACAAACAAAAAAATCTCAACATGACAACATACCCTGCTCCAAATTTGCTGAAGTCTCTCTTTGACTGCAAGGTATATGCAGTCAGTCCAAGAAACACAGCAGTAGTAAGAAGAAAGGCTTGCAAGACGACGGACACGTCAAAGAAACTCACTATAAACACAAGAAGTAAACTGTCATTTAAGAAACACTACACTCTGTATTTGCTAAATTATCTTTTGAGGAAACAGAAGTTTAAACTTTCACAGACAGGAAAAGAGAATCCTAACTGTGAACTAAACAAGTAAATTGTGCCTGAACTTATCTTTGCACTTCAAAACCATATCATAGGGCTCGGGTACCCCTGCACTAGCTAAGTTTGACAGTTACAGTATAGCTGTAGCTTCTTAAAATCTTCCCTACTCACAATAAAAATATATTTTTTTTTAATGTATTTTTAAGCCTAGAAAAGGAAGATCTTAAGGAAAAAGCTATCTGAATTTTTCAGGATACTGAAACAACAACAACAACAACAAAATCACAAGATAACCAGTCCCCTGTAAAGGCTTATGAAAGTATTGATTAGAGGGTAGGAAGGGAAAGATAAGCGAAACGAGTCAAACTTTTTCTTCCCTTCTGCCCCAATCTCTCATTTCCCCAAACAATTTTTTATTGTTTTGTTGTGGGTTTTTTTCAGGAGACCATAAACCATAAAGAAGAGGTTTCAGCTTATGCTGGAAGCTATAGTGCTAGGTGATGCCATAACTTGTCCACATGCTCCCCTAGCTTGACCCTGACAACAATGTGCAGAACACTCCAAACTCAAAAGCCTTGGAAGAAGCAGAGGGGAAAGATGAGGTTATTCCACTTGCACACCAGCTCTGCTGAGGGCTGCCTTATACCAGAGAGCGTTGCTAACTCTACTGAAAGAACAGATGGCACAGCCCTTTTCTCACTTCAGGTTTATAGAGTTTCAGTTCTGGATCAGCATCCAGTTTTCTCCCTTGATTCCCTGTTGTGCTTTTTTTCTAAACTCATATCACTGTCATTACAATTTTCAAACAGGGGATTTATTACCACTTTAGTCACATCTAGGAATGTCAGATAGCAATTAGTATGACATATTGGATTCCTTTTCCAGTTTTTTAAGAAATCAGACAATTGGATGGCTACCATTTACCTGTAAAGGCAACTGACAGTGCTACCAGCAGGGTCTATAAAAAGTAAACACAAAAAATTACAAGGATGAAAAAAAAGGCCCACAAAACATTTACACGTATACTTCACATGCAATGAGTACCATTCCATTATGTAATCCCAGCATGGAATACATTAGCTCTCTTTTTAAATCTTTGTATATGAAAACATGATTAGTGTTCAACAAGAAAATGGCAATCATACTGTCTTACTGTGTTAGAAGTTGTTGTGTTACATAAAAATAATACAATAAAAACTGAAAAGGAATGAGAGACAGCTCCTATAGAAAAATTTTGCTTAGGTCTTCCACTCCAAGCCACAGTGTTCTTACCACACTTACTGCCAACTATTCAAGGAGCTGTAACATTTCTCAGAGCTGCTATTAGAAATTAAATGTTTTCATCTTTTTGCACACTTTTCAATATTTGAAATACTTCCATCCAACACTCTTAATATCTCATTAGACAGCTAACTGTCAGCATCAATTTCCTTTCCCACTCATCCTTGTTTTGAAACAGCCAACTTAGAAACAAACTTTATTGAAGCTCAGCCTGAAGTACAGGACTGGAGTTATACTAAAAGGGAATTTCAAATTAAGTTTCATTACAATAAAAGATGAGAAAAGTATCTATGGCATGACCTGAGAGGTCAGAAATAACAGAATATTTAACCCCTATTCTGTTAAACCACTTTATCACACAGAGATTTGAATCCTTCTATTCCTATGCAATGTCATACTTAAACTGTCATACCACAAACTCCCACACCACATTTGACACAACTATTACATCAGTCCTTGTTACAGCTGCACCTGTTGAAAATTTTTAAACATTTAATTCTCCTGCAAGAGTTCAGAAGTCAAGAAGCATGTAACTGTGTTACAATTTAAACAGTCTACTTACACAGCAAAGCTGTCTGCCTGTTGTATCACAAATACAATTTAGGCAACTCCTAAAGCATCAAATTCCAATGGTGCTACTGTGAATTATTTTTTGAAGACTGTTTTGCTACATAATCCAAAATATCCAAGAGCAAGTTAGGACAGATCTACAAATCTGCAAAATCAGACAAGGGACTGAAATTTAAGGACAGCTCTGATTGACCTGCCTGTGTTGGAAACATGCTCAGAATTCAGCATCAAGATTGCTGATTGCATTTGGGCCTCTGCTTGAGCTTATCCATTAAACAAATAAGGTAATGATACACCTCCTTCCTTCCTGCTGTAGAAAAATCACCCACATAAATAGATAAGACATCAATAACGGCACACAGACAGAAACAAAAGCCATGAAAAAAAAATGCCTGCTCAACCTGATTCCAAGTTCTAACACTCTTCCTAAAAAGATGCTGGAAGAAACCTGAAGTAGAGGCTACCTAGGAACAACCTGTGGCTAGAGCCTCCAAAAAAAAGAACTTAGAATTTCCTAAGTATATAGGCACCTTTCAAGAAATATAAGAAAAACAAATTAGCCATCACCACTTTGCTTCAAGGAGTCCAAAATTATATTCTGGGGACTATTAACACTGAATTTATATAAATACTTACAAATCCAAAAAGGAGGTATAAATTAACAGGATGCTTGTGACTGTAGAAGCCCAGTGCCACAATTACAGCCAAAGATCCAATCCAAGGTATCAAGACCAAGGCAGGCCTGTAAAGTTTCATACAAGAAAGTCACCAAAATTAAAATAATGGGAAACTAAAAAACAGTTTATATAAACTCAAATTTTGAAGTGATGACCTAGATGAAGACACTACTCTGTACAACCAAAGTAAACATAAAGAAAGTTTTACAATAAAATTGCTCTAAAACATACCACCATAGATAATCAGTTAAAACTAGCAAAGTCACAAGACAGTTTCTTCATACTGGAGCTAAAGACTGACCAGGAATCCACTCCCTGTAGATGAACCTGTATGAAGAGAAAAATCCATCCATACGAAACTTACAGTATTAAAGTTTATTTGGTGTTTCCCCTATTAAGAACTCCACATTCATAGAACCATTTTTCATAAGCACCTGCATGCAACAAATATGGGCACTAACTGCACCAAAGACGACCAGTACTGACCAGGAAGTATCGCTATAATTAAGTAATCCAAGCAGCTCTTCAAGAAAAACTGGACCAAAATCAAACACAAAGTCACAGCAGTTCTAGCTGAGCAGGACAATACTAAATTATCCTATTTAAGAAGAAAACTAGTTTTACAACCTCTGTGATGTACATTACAGCTTACAGAGAAACTTTCATATAGTGTTTGATGCTTCTTCTTTATTTGGGCTCTGAAGAGAAAAGTAAAAGTAAAAGTAAAGTTAAAGTGAAAGTAAAGCAAAGTCTGCAAGTGCACTTAGGAAAAACAAAAATCAGACTTCCTTCCCCAGTGTTCTTTTCCCTTGCCTGTTCACCAGTTTATTTTTTGAGACTTGTTTTTTTATCATTAAAATCTGATAGGCAAAAAGAAGCAAGCCTACGAGAATTTCAGCAGACTAGTTTCCAGAAGAAAAAAAAAAAAGCCAAAAGAAGATGTAGGGAAGAACAGGAAGGGGAGAGGAGTAAGATACATCTCAGCTTTTTGGAACAAGGACCTATGAACTACAGCATTCCAAACAAACTCTAAAAGCAGGTACTTAGACCACAAAACAAGAAATACCACTAAGATGTTCTGCAACTGATGTATAGGTTTTTATAATGCAAACAATAAGTCATATTAATAAGTGGTGATTAAAATTTAATGGTAATAATAAAAATAAATTTCATAATAAACCAAGTAGAAAAATGTCAGAGAAGAAAAGTATTTCCTAATCATGGTATGAAATGTCCATTACAGAACCAAAACACAAGGTATAAACATTATTAGGAATACTTAAATGTTCCAGAGCAACAAACTACAAAAATTACAGTTAACACATGATAAACTGCTCCATTTCATTTTAGTATTTACCTTTCAAGAACAAATGCCTTCACTCCAGTAGAGTACAGAAAAATTGCAGATATGACTGTGGTCAGAAGAATTTGAATGGAAAGAATGCTGTAGACTTTCCGTAGAAAAGCTAGAATAAGGAAAATAAAAAATAATAACTTTTGAGTTACACTCACAGAGTTCAACAGTAAATCAGATAAGAGCTTTCTGTTTGTTAAGGAACCATCAGAAACTCTTTATTCAGTGAAAAAGCACAGAGAAAAGTTATAAGAAGCCATTTTTCTTAAAAAGAATTTACACAGTATTCCAGAAAAATTACATTTACTCCCGGACATCATTACTAAATACTAAAGTAATAACACTGGTAACAAAATAAATACAAAAAATAGTTGCAAGGAATTTCTTTCAGGCTGTTTTAAAAACCACATACACCTAATCTCATCAAGGAATTACTAACAGTATACTTTTCTATCACATTACTGGTAACTAAGGGACCTAAATGAAGAAAGGTTAAATTAGAAGTTCTGTAGAAGACAGAAACAGCCATACAATTTTAAAAAAGAAAACCTTTTACAGTAATATCTATTTGATTGGCCTTCTGCCACGTTAAATATCCTTCATCATCATTTGCCACTTGCATTGTACTGAATGGGTATCTACAGACTGCTACAAAAAAAAACCATTTACATCCCAGAATTATGATAACAGGTTTCATAACTCTAAAATTAGTGGGGAGTGGTTCAGGACATACAAATACATCTATCATACAGGTACTCTCTGTTCTGCATGCAAAGAGACCAGGCCCATTATGCAAAATGCTCTGAAAGGAAGAATAAGCTTACAGAAAGAATCAATTCAATCCTCAGTAGCAGGGCCTAAACGAGTTTAAGAGCACATCCTACAAGAAGCTGAATTACCTGCTTGTGAGCCATGAGGGACTGCGACCTACTCTGCTGCAACAACCTGAACAAACCTGGAAGCAGCCTGCCCGCTAGCACAGCCTTCTCCCCACACTATTAAACACATCAGCAGCCCTGCTAATGGCAATGCCTCTTCCATATTTCCTGTCTCGTCCTTTATTTTCCAAAGACAAAACTATTTTTACACGAAAAGGTCTCCTGTTTACCAGAAGTATCTAACACAAATTCACAGCACGCAGCTGTTTCTATTCCACGATGTATCCGATAACACTTGCAATTATTTCAGCCAGGATTACTGATTTAGACACCTTATATACGAGTATTTGAGGCATTTGAAGCCTGCATACAATCATCAAAGTAATATTTCATGGCCACTGATATGATGTCATAGCACTCAAACACTTAAGCGGAAGAGAAAGTGGAAGGGAATATTTTAACATCTCACAGAGGAAATCCCTCAGCCTCCTGGTTAAACCACTCCAATTATGGGCAGCAAATTTAACTTTTACACATCTTACGTACTATGTCTGGGCTTCAGAAAGCACCGCTGCGGGAAATCAAGCCTGACTCCAGGCGAGTTACCCCTCCCCGTTAAAAAGACCTGCCCTCTGTGCACCGCAACGATACAACCCAGCTCTTCGCTGGCCTTTTTCTCACCCTCAGGGCTTCCTCTGGACCCCCTGGCTCCACACTCACAGCTTTCACCAGCAGGTTAAAACACTGCGCAGAACCCCAGCCAGGCGATGGGGAGCACAGGGAGCAACTCGTTGGGAACACCGGGACAAGACACCCCCGCGGCCGGGCCGGGAGCGAGGGGACAAGAAAGAGGGAGAGCTGGGGGCCTTACTCATTCCCCCCAGTCCCTACCCATGCGGATGTGGACGCTGGCCGAGGCCACGTTGGTGCCGTAGTTGAAGTCATCCTCGATGGAGCTCCGCGGGTACCGCTGCTCC